TCACATGTCCAATCAGAATGAATGTCAGTTGGATTGCAGGCTTGTGAGTGTGTATACTGTACAATACACAATGTCCTAGTTTCGCATATTGAGTTGGCATTGCACACAAATTAACAGCCATACTGGTCTAGAAAGGTTAATTTTTTCCCAGTTGTATAGGGCTAATGCACTACATTAAATACATAAGGTCTTACTATGTGGATCTGATTACATAAACTAATAAACTATTCTCTAAACAATGAAAACAAACATGCAAAAACCATGCATCTTCACACACATTAACTTTTCAAGTATTTAGACATCAAAAGTGCTAAGAAGCAGAACACAGTGCTGCTGAGTACACAGGCATCTATATGGGCAGTAGTTATTCAAATGATGAGTTTCTTAACTGGGAGCCACCCTTCCTTCCTCCTTGCAGGTAACCATGACAACTGTGAACTGCTTCAGGAAACCCTGAAACATCAGGACCAAGTTCTGAGAATTCTCTGCTGAGTCTTTCTCAGGGGTCATCAGATGATCATTTGAGCCTGATTAGGACTGTTAATGATCCATATTTTCAGAGTGTCCTTAGTAATGTTCACAAATGAAAGCCCCCCCCCACCCTGTGCTCGATGTATGTAGAATTTCACAAGCTAGCTACTTCCTGTGCTTTTTCTTCCCTTTGTAGGCAGAGACAGGTTGTAGACTCAAGATGAGAAAAAAGGATAGCGAATATGAACTTCCTTCTTCACTACAGTGTCCTGAGAGGCATACACTTCCCTGCTTCCCTATCCCTTGATACACACGTGACCCTGTGCCTTGCTGAATGATAAGAAGTAAGTCTGACTTGGGTCTTGGGCCAGTGGGATAGCAGTAGACTTGGTGTAATAATTGAAACAACACTGCTTGGCGATAGGTGTGTGTCAATTACTTTTCTTGTTGCTGGGAAGAAACACCTGGCAAAAGCCACCTATGGAAGGGAAGGTCTGTTTTAGCTCAGAGTTTGAGGGTACTTATCCACCATCGCAGAGCAGTTCCAGCAACAGGAACTTGTGGAGGCTGCTCACATTGTATCCCCAGTCAGGAAGCAAAGAGAAATGACTGCTGGTGCTTGGTTTGCTTCCCTCTTTTTATTCAGCCCAGGACCACAAGCAATGGCAGGCACAGTGCTGCCCAAATTCATTATGGAGTCTAGAAGCTCCCTCACTGACTTACCCAGAGATCCTGTCATGTTGAGGATCAGCATGGCAAGATATTAGAAGACTTGACACAAGGTTTGAAAATGGCCTGCCTTGTGTCACCTTAGAACATGAGTGCCTTGGAGAACTTACTCAAGCAGAAAGGATGAGATTAGCCACAGAACCAGATCCAACCAACTAGGGGAAAAAAAGAAAAAAGAAAAAATAAACCCATTGTGGGGAGAATTCTCTTATCATTTTGTTTGTTTGTTTGTTTGTTTGTTTGTTTTTCAAGATTTATTTGTCTAATTTTATGTGTGTATGTGCACCCTGGGTGTGCAATGCCCATGGAAGCCAGAAAATGGACTCAGGTCCTCTAGAACTGGAGTTACAGACAGTTGTGAGCCGCCTTATGGGTTGTGGGAACTGAACTCGGGCTTTCTACAAGAGCCGCAGGGCTCTTCACTACCTAGCCAACTCTCCAGCCCTATATCATTACTTACCTCCACCTTCCTTTTGTTTTAACCAGGGCTTCTCCAGACAAGACTTTTATTCAGTTGTAGCAAAGCACACCTCTTCTCTGTCACAAGGTTATTTTTTGTTTGGTTGGTTTTCTGTTTTTGTCTGAGACAATGTGTTCAACAGTTGCACTGTCCCAGAGAAACCCCTCGTTTCTCGAGGTTGAACAAGAGTCAGCACAAAGAAGTCCCACGATGGTCCCAACATCAAGGACCATCTCTACAGATGTGCCCAAAGAAGTTTAACAGGCAGCTTAACAGATGTCCAAAGCTGCAGATCAGAGGGGATATAAAACAGTTAAGCCTGCTTCAAGGCACAATGTGTCACCATCTAACAGTTACAAGCATCCCTGACCGCACCGAGGAGGAACATGCGCGGGCCGGTGCTCCTGGCTGTCGGCATGCCAGGAAGATTATAAAAACGCCATGCTGTGATATGTAGCCCTCCTGCCGGGGAAGCAACGATTAAGCTGAGTATTTACTGCACCTATTCAGACAGGAACAGCCTGCGAGGAGTGCTACCTGTCTTCTGGTTGGATAAATTAGTTGTGAGTGTCACAAGATTATAGCTGCCTATTGTTCTGTCTGCTGAAGGTGGGAAGGGACGAAAGCCCCCATCTGCCCTTGTAATGTTCAGTGTGAAATGCAGGAGGCCGCCTCTTTTCTTCCTGCGCTAATGGTAAAACAAGATCTAGACTGACTATATTAGAGTTTGGGGCATCGTTAAAAAGACAACACACAGCAAAGGAGGGAAGGAGCATGCTTATTTATAGCAGGAGGGTGTGTGTATGAAAGGGAAGGGAGGTAAAGCCAGGAACCTGGGAAAATCAAATGTGAGAGGCAGGCGCAGTGAACTCCTAGAGTCACTGCATAAATTGGTCCCATAATCAGAGCAGAAATGCTTGCCAGTCAATGCAAAAATGATCTTCCATTTGCCCAACTCCTCTCAAAATATTTTCTATATAAATTGTTTTGCCCTCACATTTCCATGATCTATGGAGCTATGAACCCTAAATTAGTGTTAACAGGAATTGACAAGCTCTGTGCTAAAAAACGATCAGCCAGGCTGCCCGCCCTACGGGCTTAATTATGGAAGGACAGTATGGTAGGAGCAAAAAACCCTCTTTCAAAATTTTACCACATGCAATATAAATAAAAGATTATCTCATCCACTCATAACCTCACAGATCAAACGGAGGACAGGAAGGTGACTTTGCTGGCACTCATAATTATGTATCATGCCTGAACACTTGTGTTTTGACAAATTCAAGATTCTTAATTTTTTTGTTGTTGTTGTTGGGCAAAAGCAGCAGTCCCCCTATTCTGTGAATCTCAGACGTAGGTTCAGGAAATGGCTTGAATTAAAAGCAATGAATCCAGTCAGGTTTCCCACATGCCAGATACCACGATGGGAGATTAACTTTATAGGGTGTGTGTGTGTGTGTGTGTGTGTGTGTGTGTGTGTGTGTGTGTGTGTGT